CATATCCTTATATCCAAATTTTGAAGTCAAGGTACCTTTAAAATTTACATTTTGGCATAACTCAACAGCTTTTACAATCAAATGTTTTTCTTCAGTTATGAATATCAAAGACAACATAATCCAGATTCTCTGTGTGATAGCCATCTTTATGTGGCTTATTACATTTAATGTTTCTTTAAAGACTTTATTTTTAAAAACTATTTGTTTATATAACTGTATATTTTCCTTTTTTTCCACTCTTTTAAGCCTACATACATTTTTACATACATTGTAAATTATTTTATCTGAATCTGTCTTATTGTGAACCTATTGCTTTAAACTGCAGCCTTCTAAGCCTGAAACAGCGCTGTGGCTGCTGGCTCTGCCCACTTTAGCTTCCCAACATGGTGGTGGTACGTTTTCCGCCAGCTCTGGGAGCTATCAACTCTCAGAAATAGTGGGTCTATGCTTCTATCAAAGCAGCATGTAGCCCAGAAATCTCTTTTTTTGTTTTGTACTAGCAAAGGCTAAATCCACCACGCAGCTTAATGTGCCACTTGCAGAGGCCTCATTCCCGCCACACTGCAGGTCAAGTGTGCACGCCAGGAACCCGCCATAGTAGCTCAAACACACAGGCTGCCGCTAACTTGAGAGAGACAACTGGGAACTGTTTTTAGCTCCGTTTTAGAATCTTTTCTCAGGTTTTAGGTGGAAACTCTTGCCAACACGTTGGGTGCCATTTGTAGCTAGAATTTTCCTGCCTGGCCCACAGTCAGGACAAATCTCTGTCACCCGCCAGTCCCACAGCCGCTCAGACCCAACCAAGTAAACACAGAGACTTATATTGCTTACAAACTATATGGCCATGGCAGGCTTCTTGCTAACTGTTCTTATAGCTTAAATTAATCCAGTTCCATAAATCTATACCTTGCCACGTGACTCGTGGCTTACTGGCATCTTCACATGCTTCTTGTCATGGCGGCGGCTGGCAGTGTCTCCCACTCAGCCTTCCACTTCCCAAAATTCTCTTCTCTGCTTGTCCTGCCTATCCTTCCTGCCTGGCTACTGGCCAATCAGTGTTTTATTTACTAACCAATCAGAGCAACATATTTGACATACAGAACATCCCACAGCACTCAGACTGGTCTTGAACTCGCTATATAGCCAAGGACGACTTTGAATTTCTGATTCTCATCTCCTTCTCCCAAATGCTGGTATTACAGGCATACCACCTTGCCCAGTTTGTCCAGTGATGAGGAGTGAACCCAGGGCTTTCTGCATGCTAACCAGCACTCTGCTAACTGAGCTGGATCTCCTGCCTCCAAAATTGCTTTTGAGAAGTCACCATGTGTATTAGTCAAAATTCTCTAGGGAAACAAAACCAATAGAATGAATACATACTACAGGGGACTTAGGTGATGGTGCACACCTTTAATCCCAGCACTCGGGAGGCAGAGGCAGGTGGATTTCTGTGAGTTTGAGGCCAGCCTGGTCTACAGAGCTAGTTCTAGGACAGCTGGGGCTACACAGAGAAACCCTGTCTCAATAACAAACAAAACAAAAATGCGATTTAGACAATAGATAGATGGTTCAGAGGTTAAGAGCACTCTTATAGAGGGCCTGGGTTTGGTTCCCAGCACCCACATGGCAGCTCATAATCATCTGTGATGATCTGACACCCCCTAGTGATCTCTGCAGGCACCAGGCATGCACATGATACACATGTATACATACAGGCAAAACATTCATACACATATTTCTTAAAAAAAAAAAATTAAGAAAAAACCGGGGAATTACTAGACTGGCTTAAACCATATGGTCTGGGCAGTGCAAGAGTGACTATCCTGGTACTGGGCAGGCTAAGGACCCAGTAGTGACTTAGTCCTGGAATCTGGGCACCTCAGCAGTCCCAATCTAGCACTGAAGGCCTGGAAATTTTCTGGAGAAACCACTAGTCTTCAGTCCACATTAGAATCCTAAAGAGCTGGGTGGTGGTGGCACACGCCTTTAATCCCAGCACTTGGAAGGCAGAGCCAGGTGGATTTCTGTGAGTTCAAGGCCAGCCTGGTCTACAGAGTGAGATCCAGGACAGGCACCAAAACTACCCAGAGAAACCCTGTCTCGAAAAACAAAAAACAAAAAACAACAAAACAACAACAAAGACAATGTTGCTCCTGAGTAACACTGACACCTAAATTTGTCTCCTGGTCTACACAAACACACGTACACACACACACACAAACATACACACACACACACACACACACACACACACACACACACACACACACACACGGAAAGAGGACTAAGGGCAGTATTTACTTGACTAGCATGCATGGGACCTAGGTTCACTCACCAGACCCCATACCCCCAAACGGATTTGGCTCTGGCTTTCCAAAGTAGCAAACTTAGAACCTCTTGGGAAAACCTTTCCCAAGATGCAGCCTTCTCCACCAGATTACCAGTTGTCTCTGCTCAGGTGGATGTGGTTGACCTCACTGACAACTATGTAAGATGTCAAATGGAGACTAAGGGAGGGATCATTGAAACACCTTGTGTCTCTCCCCACCTCATGCTCATCTCACCTGGGCTATGCCTATGTAGAGTCCGCTGCTATCAAAAACCAAGGTCAGAGATCAAAGGTCAAGTGATAACTGTTCTCTGATGACTGTTTCCTGAGAGTCGCACCTCAGGCTTAGTACCAGGACACCCCTTGGATAACTGGGTACCCCTAATCTTCACCATTCCTTCAGTAACCACAGAGGGAAGGGACAGAGATAGAATGAACCCAGCCTTCTTGTCCTCCATTTTGCTCTGACCTCTGGACTGGACAATGCCGGAGAGGAATCTCCTAGGACACACCTGGGCCACTGTCATCCCTGGAGGCACCAAGCTCTGCCTCTTCATGAAAGTGGCTTCTGTTTGCATAGTCAGGGCTCATCTGCTTTGGAAGACAATTGTACTTGAAAGTGAAGTTAGATTGGTCCCAGGAGTGAAAAGACAACCCTGACTCCCAACAATGGACAAGGTAGAGCTCACCCATAGTTGAGAAATGGAGATGTTGAAACTTCCTGATGTAGGCCCATAAGGCCCTTTCTTTTTCTGTACCAAGACAAACGGTTAGAAGCACTGATCCCAGACTATCAGGAGATTTTGGGGTTCCTGTTGGATGTCTTGGCTACCCTTGAAGACACTCAGGACTCTCCTATCAGTGTTAAAGCCCTGAGAAGTGAGACCTTGAGTGTGGTGATATTGTGTTCCCCAAAATATTGTATACCCTAATAAACTTATCTGGGCTCAGAGAACAGAACAGCCACTAGATATAGAGGCCAGAAAATGGTAGCACACGCCTTTAATCCTATCACTTGGGAGGTAGAGATCCATCCGGATCTCTGTGAGTTCAAGGCCACACTGGAAACAACCAGGCATGGTGACTCATGCCTTTAATCCCAGGAAGTGAGCCTTTAATCCTAGGAAGTGATGGCAGAAGCAGAAAGGTATTTAAGGCATGAGGACGAGGAACTAGAGCTGGTTAAGCTTTAGGCTTTCAAGAAGCAGTTCAGCTGAGATCAATTCGGATATGAGGACACAGAGGCTTCCAGTCTGAGGAAACAGGATCAGCTGAGGAATTGACGAGGTGAAGTGGCTGTGACTAGTTCTGCTTCTCTGATCTTCCAGCTTTAACCCAATACCTGACTCCAGGTTTGTTTTTATTAATAAGACCATTTAAGATTCATGCTACACTTGGGCATTGCTGAATTGAATGGATAATTCCCTTTAGGGATGCCTGGATCCCTCTATACAGGCTGGGAAATAGAAAACAGCTAAAGGATCTTGGGGTCCTATGAAAAAGGAAGAAGGCTAACATCCAGCCCCTACATGAAGCTTTCCCGCCACTCTCTTCTATCTATCCCAAACTCCAAAGGTAGCACCATTGTGAGGGCCTGGGAAGAGAACTGTAGCAATATTTCTATCTTCTGGCTCAGGTTCTGTGAAAGGGCCAAATGCCTCCACTACCTCACCCATGAAACTCAAGCTTTCCTGATGACTCCCAACGTGGACCAGGAAGCAGCCGTCAAGTGAGTTCTTTGTTAAGAGTCAGGCATGGTGGTGCATGCCTTTGATCCCAGCCTCCAGGGCTATGCAGAGAGATGCCTTTAAAAAAAAAAAGTTTTGGAAACCCTTTTGTTGTTCACCTGAGATCTCAGATTCCTAGGTGTGCTGCAGTAGGCGCTAACCATCCTCAGTTGCCTAGGGAACGTAGGCAGAAAGACTGCGTTTCCAGTCTCCCGGGCCATGGGATGGGGATTCTGGGCAATGTTAAGACTGAAAGTGGGACTTTGTGCCATTGAAGTGCATTGCCTGAGCCAGATCTTGGTACTATATCTGTGCACACATACCTGGGCAAGTGTATCCAGGCTGGCCACCTAGAGCCCCAGGCTTCTGTGTATCACTTGTACCACATGTCTATACCAGCCTTTCATGCAGTATGCCAGGGGTAGGCTCCATTCTCAGAAGAGAAGAGGGCCTACTGTCCTTACAGGAGATACCTTTGTGGGGTAACAAGAGGACTATCCTGAGACACTCCCTATCAGGTGTACTCTTTTTGACCTTCTGATCAGTTGCCAGAGAGAGAAGCAGGCCCTGGGGTGTTGAATGGCCTAGACCTTGCCAGGAGCCCCCCTGATGTCCTGTACTATAAACCAGGTCATTTTAGAGAAATGATAAATAGCCCTTAGTCCAATCCTAACTGGGCACCTGTGACTCTTAGTCTCCCACACTGGATCAGATGGGTTTGGACTTGTCTTTGTGGCCACCACCTCCAGGCAGCCCTCCCTGGTACTGAACCGGCTCCGCCCCAGACTTGGGGGGGGAAGTGCTAGAGGTCAAGGGTCACCAGGCGGGCCAGGTCCCGGAAGCGGAAGCGCAGTGCACTTCCGGCGCGCAGCAGGCGGCCATGTTGGAGCGGCGGAGGCGGCGCAGAGGTGCGTCCTGGGTCCCCGCGGCGGCGCCGGTAGGTTGTAGCCGCGGGTCTAACGGTGCTGTGAAGCGGCGGCCCGGGAGGCCGCAGGGCGGCAGGGCGAAGGGACTGGGTGGCCGACCCTCCCGGATCCCCATTCTCCCCGGGCTTGGCCGAGACACCCCACCCCCACCCAGGACCCCACCCTGGGGCTGTGCGGATCCTGTTGGGCTACCACTGTCCACCTTACAACATTTCGCCGTCGCCGTGACCTCGACTCCCTGTCGCCGTTCGGGCCCCGGGGACGCGGTCTCCCAGCCTGAGGGCCCGGATCTGCCCCCACCCCAGGCTGCCTGATTAGTACTTCTCCCACCCCAGTCTAAGGTCAACTTCCTGTGCTGGCTGGCCCCAAAGGAACGTGTGCAGGCAGGTGTGCCTGGCTGCAGCGTCTCTTTACAAAGCTGCTTGAAAGCCAAGAAACACCCTCCCAAGGGTTCAGACTGACCTAGGCCCCCGCCCCCCAGTATCAGCGCTTGAGGTTTGGGGTGGGAAGTAGGTCCCTCTCTGTTTTACAGTTCACAGCCTACCCCTTCAAACAATAAATAAAAGTACTGAAGTCATGCGCAAGGATTGTGCTTGGAGAGCATCCTCTGGGGGAGGGGAAGTGCCTCAGACACCTGAGGATCCAAGAATGTTTCCAAACAAAGAGCCCCAGGGCACTTTCTCTGGGGAAACCTTAAGACTGTAGATCTGCTCCATTAGAGCTGAGCAGAGCGGCAGCACAGACGGACCTCGAGGCCCCAGGGATCTGTCTCATCCCAGCTGATCTTTTAATGCTCCAGTGCCCTGGGGAGTTTACCTCTAGAAGACCTGAAATGCTTCGAGGGATGCTAGATGTAACTCATGATTGACGGCATGATTTCTTTAAGGGAGTGTGGGGCAATCTGAGGGCTCCCAGACAACGGCATCTGTGCTGTACTGAGATCTGCTACCCTAAGTCCAGTTAGGACAGCTCAGACTTCAATGGCCGCTTGACATACCTTCTTAGATGGAACTTTATCTTCCAGCGTCTCCAAACCTTGGACTCCTTGATCTAGCTGTCTGGCCCCTGCTTTGCCTTAGAGATGTTGCTTGTTATTCAACAGCTTTTTTTTTTTTGAGAGTCTGGCTCTTTCATTGGGGTTGAACTCCAAGACTAGAGTGAGAAATTGGGTTTTGGAGTAGCCTGTCCACAGACCCTGAAAGTAGAGTCTCTAGTAGGCAGGGAGATCAACCATCCCCTGCACTGGAACACTGGCAGCTGGATGAACATGCCGGGGTGGACATCAAGTGTAAGTCGGGCCTTTGGGCCTATGTTCGAAGCCCTCAATCTGTTTTTTTCAGGTAGACCCCCACCATCCCACATGTCTTCCTTACTCTTTCTTCACAGCCACTTGAAAAGCTGTTACCTTTTTTGCTCCATTTGTGCCTGCTGTTCTTCTTTTTGTCATTCATCTAGGGTTACTGCTCCCAGGAGTCCTTCCCTAACCATACTTACTAGTAAGTATGACCTGGGTAACACCGTATACTCCCAGGAAACTTAATGGTGGCTGTGTCTTGACTTCAGGACTGGGCTCTTTGAGGCTAGAGAGATTTTCCTGTATCCTGGGACTGGTCTAGATATTTGGCATGGGGGGCATGGGGGGGTGCAGTCGGCGGCACAGTAGTACAAGCATGTGGACCTAGCTGCTCGGGAACCTGAGTGGGAGGATCACTTGCACCAACCAGTTCAAGACCAGCCTGGTAACATAGCGAGTTCCATTTCAGAGACTAGACAAAATGCAGAATTTAGCTGAGCTCTTGACACACACTTGTAATCCTAGCACTTAGGAGGCTACTGCACAGTTACCAATTTGAGGCCCGTTTGGACTATATAGCAAGCTCCAGAACAGCCAGAGCTACATAGACCTTATGTCCCCAACAACAGAATATGGTAGTGCTTGCCTGTAATCCCAGCACTTGAAAGCTAGTGGCAGAGGGATCATGGTTCAAGGGCAGGCTGGCCTATGTGAGACCTTGTCTTAAAGCAAGAAAAGAAAAATGCCATTGAATTAAAATGAGCCAGATTTAAATCTTCCCAGAAGCCCAGCAGTAGGTTTGATGGCTCTTAGGTGCTTCTGAGCATGTATCCTTAAGAAACACACCAACACAGAGGGTCAAGTGACCCTAGAGAATGATTTATCCCGGCCAGGCCCTTCTATCGTAGAGTGGGAGCCGTGCTTGACTTGCCAGCCTGTTCTAGCTCCATACCTTGGTACCATTCTTTTTTTTGTTTTTTGTTTTTGTTTTTCGAGACAGGGTTTCTCTGTGTAGCTTTGCACCTTTCCTGGAACTCACTCTGTAGCCCAGGCTGGCCTTGAACTCACAGAGATCCGCCTGGCTCTGCCTCCCGAGTGCTGGGATTAAAGGTGTGCGCCACCACTGCCCGGCTCCTTGGTACCATTCTTATCGATTCTTTTCTTTTTGCTTTGGAGGTGCCAAGTACTGGTTTGTGGATGCGCAGGCAGATCCGCAGTGCCTGATGCCATGAGCATGGTAGTGCAGCATGTGGAGGAGAAAGCTGTGCACTCGTGGTCACGCATCTCCACGGCAGGGAAGAAAGCCCTGGAAGAGGCGCTGCTGGTTTTTAACCCCATGAGCCAGGACCTCAGTGCCACCGAGGCCCAGCTTGTGGCTTTCCTACAGGGCCTGCGAGATGATGGCTTCCAGCCCACCATTCTGCGAAGTGGTGATGTCTATGGCTATAGCTCGTGCACAGCCAACCCCCCCAGCCAGACAAAGCTACAAGCTCGCACCACCAACCCATCTGCCACATCCCTTCCAGCCAGGGCTCCCCAAACTGCTGTGTCCTTACCTGCAAGAAAGGACACACTGCTCCCTGTGCCACTGTCTGGCAGGCTGGCTAAGGGATCCACACCAGCCCTTGCCAAGCATGCGACCACTAACCTGCTACTGAGCTCCCTGAAGGAGTCAAATGCCAGCCACACCAGTGGTACAACAGTAGGCTTCCCTGCCCACCTCTATCCAGGGGTCTACCCTGCCATGCGGCTCTCTGTGGTCCTTGAAGCACTGGTTCCACTCAAGACTCCTTGCTTGGGTGCTAAGCACGGGGCACAGTCACTGCAGCTGTCCCTTGCAAACTCTTCCCTGAAACTGAGGAAAGGTTCCGGGAACCTACAGTCCAAAGCATCCAGAAAAATCACAAGCAAGGGCCTCAAATGCCTGAGTAGGAAAGGTCCTGGGGCTGACCGACGAGGTACTGGGACCCAGAGCAGTGGCATACGCATGAAAGGGTGTTCTTCCCTGGGCACCAAAACAGTCCAGACCAAGGCATCTCGAACACAGACCAAAGCTGCTCATGCCCATGCCAGTCGAGCTCGAACCCAGAACAAGACAGTAAGGGTGAGGGCCAAGGCAACAAAGGCCAAGCCCAGGGCAGCCGGAGCCAAAGCCAAGAACAAGGCCACTGTAGTGAGGGACAAGGCTAAAACCAAGGCAGTCAAGGCCAAGGCCAAAGCGTCTCGGACCAAGCACAGGGGAAGGCCAAAGGGATCTGTTAAGACCAGAACTGGAAGGGCAAGCCTGAAGAGCCGCTCTGAGACTGTGGGGAAGAAGAGGAAGAAGGCTGAGGAGACAAAGGGCCTTCCTCCTAAGAAGAGGGCACGGCTTGTGCTCCGATCCCCTAAGGCGTGGCTGGGACCTGGAACAAAACCTTGCAAGTCCCAGACTATAAAGGTAGACAGGAAATCTTCAGATGATGAGGTCCGACAGTGGGCCCAGCAGATCCTCCGTGTGAACCTCTCCCCAGTAGTGTGGCTCCAACCACTGCTGCCATCTTGACTCCATACTCAGCATCCCGAGTCATCCTTGCATCACGGCTTGGGAAAACATCTGAGCTCTCCGTGTGACCAGCAGCACAGTGTGCCGTGCTCGTGGACTCTGCAGCTTTCCAGACTCTGGGTACCTCCAGGTACCTCAGGACTCTGGGTCACCAACCTCCTTTCAGAAACTGAGGATTTGGCATGGGGTGGGGAGCGGGAGGGGTGTTCTCATGGCTCAATGCACTGTGACTTGTTCTTTAAGTTGTACGTCTGATGTTCCATCTATCATGTTTTATACCTTTCCACCTTGCGGTCTCCCTGCTCACCCTCCATGGTCTTATTTATTGAATGATTTTGGTGTGTGGGGGCTGCTGCAGGAGTCTGCTCGAAGTAGCCCTGGTAGCTTGAGCAGGTCATCAGTGTGAATGATAGGGTGATATTATGGAAGGGCAAAGCTCCCAGGCTTCTGAAGAGATCGGGGAAATTCAGGTGCTGGCTTCTGTAGATGTGTGAGGGAGATCCTGAGGAGGGGCAGAGCCGCTATAAAGTAGGGCACCTCACCTCGAGTGTCCCAGTTCTGAACCAGAGGGCCCCATTCAAGATTGTGAGTCACTCTGGGAAATCCTGCAGCTCACAGGTTTTTAGGCCAGGGAAAGAAGCCTTTGTGGTACTGCTCTCTAGGGGCCAAGCTTTAAGGCTTTGCCTGGGCTTGTCTAGTGGGAGGGAACAGGCTGAAAAGGCTTGAAGTGCTGCTTCTCTGCTGAAAGTGACTAGCCTCAATTTTCCCGAGAGGCTGGGCTTTGAATCTGGACCACAAAACCTGCCCTTACTATCCAAAGAATTTTCTCTCTGGTGGATCTAGGAAGACTTCTACCTGTACTCAGCAGCACTTTCTGACTGGATTCCACATGCTCCATCTTACTCGGGTCCAGCCTCACTGTGACTCCTCACATGACCTGTGTGCTTTGGACATTGTTGGTACCTTCTGCTTTGGAGAAGAGCTGGGTCCTGAGTGGAAGCAGCTGCTGTGCCCATCTGTAGTTCACTGGTAGCCACTCAGGCTGGAAGGCAGTGGCTAGGAGGTGGGGACCTGCAGCCCCTGCACTTGGGGATTTGAGTGTGAGTTTGAGTCAGCGTCAACTACATACTGAGGAAACACCACCACCACCTCTCTCTCTCTCTCTCTCTCTCGTGTGTGTGTGTGTGTGTGTGTGTGTGTGTGTGTGTGTGTGTGTGTGTGTTTGTTTTTTGAGACAGGGTTTCTCTGTATAGCCCTGGCTGTCCTAGAACTAACTCCTTTTGTAGATCATTATCATGCTGGCCTCAAACTCAGAGGTCCACCTGCTGGGAATAAAGGTGTGTGCCACCAGACCAAGCCAGGGGACTAGAGGAGAGATGGCTTAGTGATTAAGAGGATTTAATTGCTCTGCCAGAGGACCAAGTTTGGTTCCCACAACAAGGCAGCTCACAAACACTTGTGTTCAGCTCCCAGGGACCCCACACTCTTTTCTTGCTTCCACAGTCACAGGCAGAAAGACACACAATCTTTTATTTTTTTTAACGGCACAACTGGATAAAGCATCATTTTTCTTGGGAAAAGGCTATCTCGAGTATCTTGAACTTCAGTGATGTTGATAAGCAAAGGAATGGTGTGAAATCCCTTAAATAAAAACTTACTGGCTGGGCTCGAGAGATGCCTCAGAGGTTAAGAGCACTGGTTGCTCTTTCATAAAACCCAGGTTCAGTTCCCAGGGCCTACCTGGCAGCTCACAGCTGTCTTAATTCCAGTTCCAGGGGACCTGACACCCTCTGGTTTCACTGGGCACTAGACAGACACAAGGGCAGACATGCATTCAGGTAAAACACCTATACACATAGAAATAAGTAAGAAAATAAACGTATTGTCTTTACAACAACAAGAACGATGTTAATAACAGAGCGAGCCAGGGCCGAGAGACGGCGTAGTTGGTGAAGCGCTTTCTGTGCATGCGGGAGGGCGTAAGTTCAGATCCCGAGAACTCCAGTAAAAGCCGGATGTGTGCCTGAACACCGGCAATGAGTCGGGGCAGAGCCAGCCAGTGTGGCCAAAATGACAAAATCTAGAGTCAATGAAAGACCAGATCTCAAAAAATAAGATGGAGGCCGGGCGGTGGTGGCGCACACCTTTAATCCCAGCACTCGGGAGGCGGAGGCAGAGGCAGGTGGATCTCTGTGAGTTCGAGGCCAGCCTGGTCTACAGAGAGATCCAGGACAGGTGCTAAAAAACTACACAGAGAAACCCTGTCTTGGGGGAGGAAAAAAAAGGTGGAGGCTAAAGAGGCGGCTCAGAGGTTAAGAGCGCGTACTGTTCTCACACACAGCTCCAGGGCCAACCTGGTCTACTTAGCCGGTTCCAGGATAGTCAGGGCTATGTAGAGAGACTGTTGAAAGAAGTCTCTGTCTCTGTCTTGAAGACAGGGTCTTACTATAGCTTTGAGGGACTTGGCACTTGCTAAGTAGACCAGACTAGTCTTGAGCTCCTAGAGATCACCTGCCTCAGCCTCCTGAGTGCTGGGATTAAAGGCATGCGCCACCATGCCCAAAATAATTTTTTTGTTTGTTTTTTTTTTTTTTTTTTGAGACAGTGTTTCTCTGTGTAGCCATGTCTGTCCTGGAACTCACTCTGTAGACCAGGCTGGCCTTGAACTCAGAGATCTGTCTCCTGAGTGCCAGGATTAAAGGCATGCACCACTGCCCAGCATAAAATAATAAACATAAGATTGGGAACTAGAGAGATGGCTCAGTTGTTAAGAGCACTGGTTGCTGTTGTTAAGGACCAGGGTTAGGTTCCCAGCATCCACAGGATAGCTCACAACCACCTGTGACTCCAGTTTGAGTGGATTTTTGCCCTCTTCTGGCATCCAAGGGCACTGCATGGGCATGGTATGCAGCCATACATGCAGGCAAAATAAAAATATATAAATCTTCCAGGACAGGCTCCAAAGCTACAAAGAGAAACCCTGTCTCGAAACAAACATATATATCTTAAAAAAAAAAAAAAAAGATGGAGAAGCAATTGAGGAAGGCATCCTATCAACTCTTCATGTGCACCTGCATAGGCAAGAATGCCTGTATCACACACATACACACACACACACACACACACACACACACACACACACGACCAAGCCAGAAAGAAGGGAGGAGGGAGAAAGAAGGCATCCCGAGTCACGTGTATTGATTCATGCATGTAATCCCAGAACTAGGGAGGCTGAAGCAAGAGAACCTCAAGTTTGAAACTAGCCTGGGCTACACAAGACTCTTGTGTCAGAAAAGAAAAACCGTAAAAGGGGTGGGGATGGGGGGAGGGAAGGCATCCTTGGGACCAAGTGATCATGATACCCTTACCTGCCTTTCCACGCATCAAGTGGAGTGATGGTTCTACCCAGCTCCTTCTGCTTTGAACCAGGAAGAAGCCACTCAAGACATTGATGGTTTAGAGAATAAAGGGAGTACAGTGGCCTATGCAGACCCCCATCTTTCTGGATTCTGTGAAGTTCTTGGTGCTCTACTCTACCTTTGGTGGAAACAAATTATGGTAGGACAGGATTTATGCAGTGAAGCTGCCAGTTATTCAGGAGAGCACAGATCTAGAACTGCACCAAGAGGATTGACACCCAGCAGTGGAGAATAGGAAGAATAGTATGTGGAAAAGGTGAAAAGTGAGACTAGGGTGGGACTGGAGTTTACAAGAACAGAAGACATGAGCCATGGGAAAGATTTGAGCAGGAAAGTGGGTTGTTTGGAAGGAAAGCCTAGTGGAGGCTGCTTAAATGGTTCTGAGTGAGAGTTGGACTGTCTGGAATAAACTTGGACCTTTGGGGAGAGAGCAGGGAAAGATTCAGAAGATATTAGGAAACAGAAAGGGGGCACGAGTGAGGAGGGGTGGCAGGTGTGGATGAGTGAGGGTGGGCTTACTGATCCCACCAGCGCTGTTTGCCCTCCTGCTAAATGATGCTCCTGCTGCTGATAAAGGTGCCACCTGAGCTGAAGTCTTAGATGCTGGGGCCACACAACACACATTTGCAGGAGTTCCCAGCAGATTTCCTGGAAACAATGAAGAAAGGCTTACCCCAACACTGTGGCTGAGACTCAATCCTGGGGGCCACCCCTATGGCTCACTGACCACTAAGTGTGTCTTGAGTGGACAGTGCCCCCACTGTCCCCAAATCATTGATCAATACCTACGACCACCATGCCTGGAATGGATGCTTTTTGAACTAGTATCTGCAGTGATAAGTTTCTAGGGCCAGTAGGTTTGAGGTTGAGGGCCAACCATCTCCTTTATCTGAATGATTTAATTTTCCTATCACTCTGCCCAGGGTGCCACACTGTATTGTGTAGCAATTTTCACTGAGATAAAATCATCCATTTTGGAGGGAAGCTCCCTAAGACACTGGATGTTCTAAACTTTAGAATCTAAAGGGAGACAGAAACATTCCATTCTTCAGGGAGGCTCCTTAAGACACAGGATGTTCTAAGGGGAAGTGAAACATTCCATGCTTCAGGGAGGCTCCACAAAATACTCTGCGGGCGTGGTGGTGGCACGTGCTGTTAATCCCAGCAGAGGCAAGTGGATCTCTGAGTTTGAGGCCAGCCTGGTCTACACAGTGAGTTCCAGGACAGCTAGAACTGTTACACCCAGAAACCTTGTCTCGACAAAAAAGATACAAGGTATTCTAAGGGAAAGTGAAACATTCCATTCTGCAGGGAAGCTCATTAAGCTCAGGAATTCAGGATGTCCTTGAAACTGATAAGCTTCACTAGGCCCCTCCCTTCCTAAAGGTATATAAGTAGTAAAGAAGCTTAGAGACACTCCCAGACAAGTTAAGCTGACCAACTAGGCTCACACTAGCTAGGCTGTCCGGAAGAACTAGATCTGCCAAGCCACCTAGAAGTAGCAGAGATAAGAAAGCTGCCTGGAGAGGTTAGACCGGCTGATTTCCAGCCTGCTGGGCAGCCTGCAGGCTGGGCTTTGTGCTCCAGGTTTCCAGCTTTCATGCTCTGTCACCGATGCTGGGATAGGCTTTGGTGATACAGTTGTCTTTGGGTCATTTCTGCTCCTGTAAGTAACCCCAATAAAACTCATTGGTTCTCCAAGTTGGACTTTGGTGGTATCTGTACTTTGTTCTGTCCTTGGTTCCTTGCCTAGAGTGAGTACACTTTTGCTAACATATCCCTGTTCTGGTGGAAGCTCTACTCAGCCCCTGACACCCATATACCCAAAGAGTTCAGAATGTTCCGGTGGAAGCATCACCTCAGCCCCTGGCACCCATATACCCAAAGAGTCTGGAATGTTCTGGTGGAAGCTCCACCTCAATTCCCCTGCCCCATCTCTCTCTTCCCAAACCCTGCCCACCAAACATTGTTCCTGCCCCAGAGTTGCTCAAGACCACTCCCACAGGGTATTTAAACTGCACCCCAGAAAACAGATGTGGTTTTTCAGTCTCTCCCGTTTCCTCGGCGGGGGGGGGGGGGGGGGGGGGGGGGGGGGGGGGGGGGGGGGGGGGGCGGGCGGGGGGGCGGGGGGGGGGTGGGCGGGGGCAGAAAATCATCCAGGAGTGCTTTACCCATTAAACTGGGGCTTTTTCTAATACTGTCTGATTTGGTCTGATTTTGATTGCTGCGTCAGCAGAGGAACTTATCAGGGTGCAGAAAATGTTTAATCCCCAGGAATAGTGTCACACAGAACACTGATAGATTACTTAAAGGCAACTTCCTAGAATGCCATGGGGCTGTTCATGGAAGATAACTAGTCACGTGTTTTCAGTTCTATAAACAAGGTTGGTTGCCCCAACTGCACAGGACATGCTGGATCACATGTAGTGGGAGGTACATAGGCAGGAAGTATTCAAGATGTGTGCTTGCCTCTGATTGGACAAAGGCAGAAGTATGTAGCCTTATGGGTTTTGCTTTTATAAGCACCTGTAGTCAGAGGTTATTCTGAGCCCAGCCCCATGGTCCCACAGCTGCTTATAAAACAATCATTCAGAAGCTTAATATTAATTACCAATTGTATGGCCATGGCCTATGGCTCAAGCTTCTTGCTAGCTAGTTCTCATAACTAAACTCAGCCCATTTCTACTAATCTATATGTCACCACGTGTTCCATGGCTTTACCTGTGTGCCATGCATGCTGCTCCCTGGACGGCAGGATGGCATCTCTGGCTCTTCTTCCTGTCTCTTTCTCCAATTTACTGCCTAGCTATAGCCTGACTTGCCATAGGCCAAACGCCTTTATTTATCAACCAATCAGAGCAACACATATTCACAGTATATAGAAAGCTATCCCACAGCAAACACGTGACTAACATAATTCATGGCCATTTTCTAGGAATCCCAGGTATGGACCTGACCATTGTCCATTGTTCTGGTCAGTATTTAATAAAGTTTGCTGTAGCATGAATCTTAAAGAGTCTTTATTAATAAAGCAATCCTGGAGCCAAGTATTGGGGTGAACTGGAAGATCAGAGAGACAGAACAAGCCGCAGCTAACATCACCTGGCCAACTTCTCAGCTAGTCTTGTTTCCTCAGACTGGAAGCTTCTGTGTCCTCATCCCAATGGCTCTCAGCTGAACTGCTGCTCGAAACCTAAAAGCTTAACCAGCCAAATGCTTCTAGTTTCTGGTCCTCATGCCTTATATACCTTTCTGCTTTCTACCATCACTCCCTGGGATTAAAGGCTCGATTTCTGGGATTAAAGGCGTGAGTCACCATGCTTGGCTGTGTCCTTGAACACATGGATTTCTGCCTCTGGAATGCTAGGATTAAAGGCATGTGCTACCACTGCCTAACTTCTATGTTTAATATAGTTAATATAGAACTGTCTCTGACCCCAGTTAAGTTTATTAGGGTGCACAATATTTTGGGGAACACAATACCACCACAGTTTGCTTCAGATTTGGCTAAAAGAATTGTGATAGTGGTCTTCTTCTCAGCCAATGGGAATAAGACAGGCTTGGTCTGACCTTCAACGGGACAGTATTTATTCATAGCGAGGGAGCATTTTGTCACCCACATGTGCACATGGACAAAATGCCTACTAAGGAAGATGGGATGTGGCCCCTCATGGGAATGACTTCTGTAATCTGTAAGGAACACTGGGAAGAGTAGTCTTTCAGCAAGAAACTCTCAAACACTGTCATACCAAGGGTGCTACCCACCTGTGCTATTTATAGCTCTGTGAGGGGGCAGTGCATGTGTAGGCAAGACTGTGACTGTTGCTTCCCTAGCTAGTGGGGCCTCCTGTACTGTGCCTCCTACTTACAAGTGTCTGCCAGTCATAGCGGGGAGGAGGAGGGCACTATGGGTTAGTTAGCACTGTGAAAGGAGAGCACTTCCAGACAGTTCAGTACGCCCCTGTCTTTAGATGCTTGTGTAGTTACTATGGAGACCCCATCCTGGGCTTGGCCCAGCAGCAGCAGCCCTTCCTCCGACTTGAGTGCCCTGACTCTGGCCCCTACTGTGTGAGTTCTTGTCATGTGGGTAGCATGAATGAGTACATCTTGTGCTTCTGGCACCTGGATGTAAAGGTGAGGCATGCTTTGCAATGGCAAACCCACAGAAATAGTCATTTTGTTGACAATCCCAATTCCATCAAGGCTACATGACAAACTTTTGCCCATCCTACCTGCATCCTGGACATGTTTCTTTTTGTTTTTGTTTTTTAGTTTTTAGAGACAGGATTTCTCTGTGTAGCGCTGGCTGTCCTGGAACTAGCTTTGTAGACCAGACTGGCCTCAGACTCACAAAGATCCACCTGCCTCTGCCTCCTGAGTGCTGAGGGTAAAGGCGTGTGCCACCACCTCCTGTCTTTGACACATTTTTTTATTTTAAGAATTATTTTGCCTGGCCGGGCAGTGGTAGCGCACACCTTTAATCCCAGCACTCGGGAGGCAGAGCCAGGCAGATCTCTGTGAGTTCAAAGCCAGCCTGGTCTACAGAGCAAGATCCAGGACAGGCACCAAAACTACACAGAGAAACCCTGTCTCAAAACACCAAAAAAAAAAAAATTATTTTGCCTAGTGATGATAGCACACACTTTTAATCCCAGCACTCAGGAAGCAGAGGCAAGTGGATCTCTGTGAGTTCAGAGGCCAGCCTGGTCTACAGAGTGAGTTCCAGGACAGCTGTGGGTACACAGAGAAACCCTGTCTCCAAAAAAAAAAAAAAAAAAAATTCCAAAAAATTATTTGATTATTTTGTGTAGGAGTGTTTTGCCTGCATGTTTATATGTACCTTATGCTAGGCCTGGTGTCCACTGAGATCAGAAGATGGTATACTGGAGTTTAAGACGGTTGTGAGCTACCATGTGGGTACTGGAATCGAACCTGGGTCTTCTGCAAGAGGAAAAAGTGCTCTTAACTGCTGAGCTATCTCTCCAGCTCTCTTTATTATTTTGTTTGTTTGTTTGTTTGTTTGTTTGTTTTGAGACTGTCTCTCTACATAGCTTTGGCTGTCCTGGAAATTACTATGTAGATTAGGCTGACCTCGAATTCACAGAGATCTCTCTGTCTTTGTCTGCAGAGTGGGCTGGGCTTAAAGACATGCACTACCATGCCTGGCTGCTCTTTTTATTTTTTATTTTAAAGGGTTTTTTTTTTTTTTTTGGTTTTTCCAGTAAAGTTCTTATTTATTGTGTGTATGGGGTCAGTGACTTGGCTCTTTCCTGTCTTTGTATGAGTTCCAAGAATTGACCTCAGATTGCTAGGCTCGCCCAGCAAGTGCCTTTGCTCACTGAGCCATTGTGCTGCCCTAGACATCTATCTTTATAGAGTACCTGCTGTGGGAAAGGAGGGCCAAATAGAGGGAGTAATATGCACAGCCGGAAAAGTCAGGAAGATGGGTATTGTAACTGCTGTGTCTTCTCCCCTCCCAGTCAGACTTACACTTGCTGACTGTGTATGTAGACTCCACAGGCCCTAAAGATACAAGATACCTAGGACAACGCACATATATGTCAACCCTGTCCAGACCTCTGCTCCTCTTGCTACCTTGGGTACCGTTAGTTATGAGAAGACCCCAGGAAGAGTCCATGCTGACCCCACCAGTGCAATAGCGATATTGATTCTCAAGACCCTGTGGGCTGTGATCCCACGGAGTGGGTGCTGCCAGAATTGTTGCACGCTAGCCATGGCCCTCGCTCTGCCTCCTGCAGACCTGGTTGCATGGCAGTACCTGTGCCCTGGATGCTGGCAGTGTGAACATGCACACGGAGGAATGAGGACACCTCACACAGTTGGATGTAGTCTCCCTCCATACATACTGCAAATCTTTCTCTCTTTACACTGTAGCTGTGACCCCTGGGCCCTGGCCCTATGTGGTATCCATCTGAAATTAAAACCTGTTTCTGCAACCAAACCAGCAAGCCGTCCTCCTGCCACACTCACACCCTGAGGCGTTAGTTATTTTTCCTCTCTCTTCTGGAACCTTGGAGGACCCCAGGGCTGCAAATTTGGCAGCTGCAATGCCCAAGACACTTTGCAACCAACGTGTCATGCAGTATGTGAGCCTCTGTCATGCGACATTAACCAGTTTTGATGGGACACATGCCTGCCTATGATGGTATGTGACTAATAGCTGGTATTAGTGGCCATCTGATCACTGGTACTAGTGTATGTGGTTACAAACATTGTAAGAGTCTTTTTGTCTGAGGGTGCATGTGCCCAGTCATATGTACAGCTATGCATTATTGTATGGACAGACTGTTATGAGTGGGTCATGGCAAGCAGTGAGTATGATGGGCTGGGTGGGTGAGGCTGAGAACAGCCTGAAGAGGCACAGGTGGGGGGTTAGGAGGGAGAGCTGGTACAAGCAGATCCCCAGGAAGCAAGTGTTTCTAGGAAGTACATGATCAGTGACTGAATGGGATGAAGCCTTAAGCATGTTTTGTCTCCTTGGTAACATAGGAGTGGAAGTCAGAGTCAAGGGGTGAGTTGGGCAGTGGTGGCACACATCTTTAATCCCAGTACTCTGGAGGCAGAGGCAGGAGGAGCTCTGTGAGTTCAAGGCCAGCCTGGTCTACAGAGTGAGTTCCAGGACAGCCAGGTCTACACAAATAAACATTGTCTTGAAAACCAAAAAACATGGGCTGGAGAGTAGTTAA